GTGTGGTTTAAATCCCTCTGGCTTGATTGCCTGCAATAGGCTCCAGGTGTGCAGGAGCTGGAGTTGGCCCTGCCCAGGGGCGGATCCCAGGTTAGTTCAGGAGCCTTATGGAAATTCCAGCCACCCACTGCAGACCATGACAATTCCTTTCTTTTCCGTTTCTTCTTATTATCCAGACAGCTCACTTTTGCAGCTTTGTCCTTCATAACTGGTACCAGTAAAATACACAGCATTGAGTCTGGTAGTCTTCCATGAATCATAAACTCTGTGAAGCAGAGTGCTAGAAGAGGAACTAGCCTTAAACTTAAACTGTTTTAAATGTGATCCAACCCTGAAGCTTTATTATCAGATAACTATGAATGAATTCATATATGTCACGGCTGCCGAGGTGAGCCGTGTGGTGTTGGAGGGAAAGAGGACCCAAAATGCAGGCAGTAGATTGATGATGCAAGTGACGTTTATTTCCAAGTGATGGAGTTACAGAACAGGCAGTTACAGAACAGGCAGTGAGTACGGTGGCTGGGAAGTGCAAATCGCAACAAATTAAAAAAACCGCAACAAAATACAAAAAGCCCACAACAAAATCCTAAACCAACCAACCAAAAATCCTGGCCACGCCCCCTCCCGTGACATCACGCTTGTGTCACTTCCGGTATTTCAGACAATCCCTTTCCGTCAAGGATTTTTAATTTGTTGTGGGGTTTTTGTATTTTGTTGTGGGGTTTTTTAATTTGTTGCGATTTGCACTTCCCAGCCACCGTAAGTGAGGAATGACAAATGACTAAAGAAACCTAAACTGGGAAAACTAAATAACAAACCTGAGAACATACGAAATAGGGTGCGGGGCAGAGAGAGGAACGAAACACCATGGAAAACAGACGAGCTGACAACAAGCACAGACCGACACCCACTATATATACACACACAAACAAGGAGACCAGGTAATGACATACAGGTGGGAGCACAGCTGATTCTAATACACAAGACGACCTGAGGATACAAGCTGAACACAATGACAACAGACGGAGACCTTCAGAATAAAACAGGAAACCCAGAACACGAACAGGGCACAAGGGGAGGACACAGAATACCAAAATCAGAATAACTAGAACAGAGGAAAATAATCATAAAACACAAAACGCTGGGTCAACGGCCCAGCACCATGACAATATACTTCACGTGTCCTTACACTTATTGTGTCATTACTCATGTCAGAATTGTCCTCATATGATTCACTTTTTATACAGTAAAACAACACACTGTAATGCTCTGCTGACAGGGTTTTGTAGGCGGACTCAGGCGCAGACCAGGAGACCTTTGAAAAAGCTGACAGTGCGTTTATTTACAGTGATTTCTCCAGGTGATGATATATACAAAGTGTTTGGGAGAGGGGTCCATGGCTCCAGGGTCCGAGGGGGAGGGGAAGGGTCCGAAAACACTCCACTCTCTCAGCAACGATCCCCTTCCTTTTCCTCCAACGCTCCTCTCGCTCACTCGCTCACTCAAAAATACAGGGACGGGTCCAGGGAAGATCTACAAACACAGAAAAATCCATTTAGTACAAGGTCGCACAAAGACTAATAGTCTCAGGCTTGCTGATCACAGAATAACTGACGCTGGTGGCTCAACGTTCCAGCAACGAGTAGCCAAAGAATCTGCTCTCAGCTCATTTTGAGTTATGAAGCGAACAGCGTACTTGTATCTGGCATTCGCACATTTTTTCTGTTAAAATTCTGGGCCTTGTTTAGGTCTTCCAGCCATGGCCCAACATTTATAAGCTACACAAGTTTCATCAAGGTACATGGCTACATGTTCTTTCCAGGTCTAATGTTAGGTTTCTTAGGCTTATATTGTTTATCAAACAGTGTACCACTTTCATGCAGAGCAGTCACTATATCATCGTACATGGAGCAGAGTTCATGTTTATGCACAGCATTCTTACAGTTGACATCCTTGCACAAAACAGCTTCTTTGGGCAAAGAAATGTTGTTCAGACGTATATCGGTGTTACTATGATAAGCTAAGACGTCCCCTTCACTACAAGCTGACCAGTCTAATTTTACACTGGTAGCAATATTAGCAATATTATTTCCAGTTGTTGTGGCATTTGTTCCACATTCACAGTAAAACCAAAAGGTATATGGTCTGACACAGTTACCTCATACCTGCTAGTCATGTTTGCTAAAGCTGCATGTCCCTCAGCTGTACAGATACAGTGGTCCAGCCATGATGTACTATGCCAGGCTTCACTTACCGGTATGTATGTATAGCTATCTGCAGACAGAAACACTTTGGTAGACATGATAGGATTGTTATCTTCACAAAAGTGGGCTAAGTGGTTAGCAAACTGAGAACTGGTGTCTGTGAGATCAGCATTAAAATCACATAAATATTAAGAATAATAAAGCTACTATTATTCTGTGTATATTGTATACCAATACACCAGTCTACATCCAGTCTAATGGGCTATCACAGGGTCTTTTTTTGTCCTAAAGAAACTGTTGGACATTATGGACAATGCTGGGCATCCTCTGCACACGGCCATAAAACACCAGAAGAGTCTGTTCAGTGACAGGTTGCTTCTCCCAAAGTCAAGAACCAGCAGACTTAAAAAGTCCTTTGTCCCACACACCATCAGACTGTTTAACTCCTCTCTGGAGGGGAAACAGGAGGACAAAGGAGGGGGGAACAACTAAGCTGTAGTGCACTTTTCACTGTGCAATTTTTATTCTATATTCAGCGGTGCAATAGACTCAGAATAGTTGAAATCTGCAATTCCCTGATAATTCCTATTGTTGGATTTATATTTTATTATTGTCATTTGTATTGGGAAATATTTATCCATATATGCTTAGAGGTGTATAATCAATTGTGTAGTGATAGGATGTGTGATCCTTAGGAGTCTGCAAAGACTTTGTGTGCATTCCAGAGTGCTCTTTCATTCACACCCACATCCTGGGAGCAGGGGAGAGGTCGTACCTTCTTTTATTGTTTTATGGCAGGATAAACGTATCTATGTCTGTTTTACTCTAAGTGCCTTTTGTTTAGATGAACTGCTCGACTTCCAGGCCAGCAGATTTTGGGAAGTCATTTATGGGGTCACAGCTTCACCCCACACGCACACACATACCTACACACACACATACACAGACAGTACTCTTTGTTCACATGTATATCTATATAAGATATGCTATGTTAATGAACCTATGCATATTCATGTAACCTCAATAAAGAGCAGTGTTACGAGGAAGCAGACAAGAGCAGCTGGGGTCAAGCGAAGGAACGGCGCTTGTCATGGTTTTATCTAATCTAATGTTGGAGAGCATCTAAATTCTCCCTGCTGTCCTCCACGGTGTCGGGAAGGATTATGCAGATGTATTTAGGTGCCTATCAGGTTTTTTGGTCTAATCTAGGTGTTAAAACATGTTCAATTCTGAGCTAACATTCACTTTTTCCTCCAAGACTCTGGTGTCTAATGCCACCTCTCTGCTCACACTCAGCTCCCTCATAACTGTTCTAACTTTGTAATGACTGCAGTCCCCTCAGTGTGACTGTCACAGACGTCTGCTTATCTGTTTGGTCACATTCACACAGAGAAACAAGCTCCTCACCTGTGCAGGTACACAAGGTGGTGGAGCCTCTGACCTTTACTGACCTCTGACCTCCTGTTGCAGGTGTGTGTGTGCTGCTGCTGTCTGCACCGACTGTTTCTGCAGGTGAGTTGATGAAGTGCAAACAATCAGTGAGACTCCAACAAGAACACAAATACACTTACTGTGTGTGTGTGTGTGTGTGTGTGTGTGTGTGTGTGTGTGTGTGTGTGTGTGTCCTCCAGTGTCTCTGTCTGTTGGTCCAAACCTTCAGCAGGTCTTCAGAGGATCTTTAGTGGATCTGAGTTGTGTTGATGATGGACAGACAGCTGATGGATGGACAGTGAAGAGGAGCAGAGGAGGACCCACTGAGGACTGTGGAGGCTTTGAGAGGCTTCTTGGTTCCTACTGTGTTGTGGCTGTTTGTCCTCCCAGTGAAACCTTCTGGTGTGAGGACTCTGGACAGCAGAGTGACAGAGTCTCCCTCAGTGTCCAATCAGACACTACAGGTGAGATGTTCCAGCTGTGTCTCTGTCTCTGTGTGACTCTGCTCTCATTAACTCTGTTTGTCTCTGATGGTCAGATAAAGCTGTCATCCTGGAGATCCCTGCACTTCCTGTGAGGACAGGAAGTGATGTCATTCTGCGCTGCAGACAGAGGAATGGTGCCACAGTCGCAGCTTATTTCTACATCAAAGGAAGTCACCATGGTCTTGAACCAAAGCACATCATCACTAACATCATGCAGGCTGATGAAGGTCTCTACTCATGTTCTACTGAACTGGGTAGAAAGTCTCCTCAGAGCTCTCTGAGGGTCAGAGGTCAGAACACTGACATCACTTCCTGTTTAAAAAATGATGTAACCTGGTGACCTGATAATAAACTGACTGAACCATCTTCATCATCTCTCCTCCAGATCCTCCCAAAATCATCCATCCTCCCCCTCCTCACTGTCCTCCCCCTCCTCACTGTCCTTCTCCAAGAACCTCCTCAAACTTTGCTCCTCCTCTTACTTATCCTCCTCTCCCAGCATCCACCTGTCCTCCTCCTCCTCCTCCTCCCTCTCTCCTGGTCCCCATTGTTGCAAGTCTGGTTTCTGGGCTTCTCCTGGTTCTAGTTCTAGGTTTGGTTCTGTTCCTCTGCTGGAAACTTAAAGGTATGAAAGCTCTCACTCACTTGATATGAACAGTTGTAATCTGATTACTACAGTTATTAGCCATAGGGTGTTTAGACTCACCCATGAATTAAGTTTCCCATTGGACCTTCTGAAATAAATAATTAATTTTACTTCATTTCATACGAGCACTTATATGTTCAGCTGAAAACAGATCTGGTCACACGGACATTTGTTTAATTTTCTGTGTTTTGTGTTGTTTTATTTTAATCATGTCAGTTTGTCTGATCTGTTTTTAATACCTTTGTAAATAACATTGTTCATCGAAAATAAAATAAATTTTTCTTACATGATGCAAAATGATGAGGAGAAAGAGGAACAATTAAACAGGAGTTCTGTTCCTCTAAAAAGAAACAAGTTAAACATACCAAAGGTATCTTTCTATTATCTGGAATCACTTATCCCAACATTGCTGATCATAATAAGCAGTCACACAAAGCTGGTTATCAGCTCGCTAAGTTAGCTTGGGGTTTAACCTACAAATTCACAGGAAAGGGGCGGGGCTTGAGAATCCGATCAATCAAAAAGGGGCATTTCATGGATCAGATTATTGTTCTTCTAAATAAAATGATCCCTATAGGGGTCACTTATAACAGAGAAATTATCAGATAGTGATCAAAAATATAGAATAGAATAGAGTAGCATTTAATTGTCATTGTAAAAATAGAAAAAATAAACAAAAGAAATAAATACTAGAGTGATATATACAAAAACAAAGAAAGGCACACAATGGAGGACTGTTTCTTTGAGACAGTTTAAAAGGACTTGGTCTGAATAGGGTCCATGCATGAGTGGCCTGAGTGATGAGGGTTAGTCAGACCACGGCTCAGATAGGTGGGTGGGCAGGAGGATAACAGTCTGAACTGCCCAGGGTAAGAAGCTGTTAGT